ATGGGGGCAGCTGAGGACACCCCCCCCCCCAAGCTTCAGGGTCCAGACATGGACCCCACCCTAGAAGGTAGCCCTGCCCCTGCCACGGAGGTGGGAGAGGTCCACCTGGCTCTGAGTTTTTGGGAGTGGGGGTTGGGGCAGAGCTGGGATTTGAATTCAACCAGCCTCCACCCCACTGCGCTGGCTAAGCTGGCTTGACTGCTGAGCCAGGACTCCAGCTTGCTCCAAATTTTGGGCCCTTGAACGAAACTCCTTTGCTCTTTTAAATGCAGATGCGCCCCACCCCCCATCCTTCTGGAACCCCAGAACACATCACCTACCGTCGCTGAGCCACAATCGGGATTCTGATATTTGTCCTCCTGGCCTCAGGTTTACACTAGTCAGGGTCGGGCGACTCCCGCGGTTTCACAGTGGCAAGGCAGGAGCAAGGGCAGCGCCTGAGGCGCCCTCCGCGCCCAAAGGCTGGAATTCCCGGGAGAAGCTCCCGGAGCTTTACACCCTGCTCCTCCCCAAAAAGGTGGAAACTGCACTTTCCGTGTCCACCGGGCAGATGACTAGAAACCCCGTCATGGACTGAGCACTTCTCGTTGCGACCCATTTAACTCTTCCTCCCTTTCCCCCCACTCACGCGCGCCCCGCTTTCCTGATCTGACTCCGGGGAACGAGTGTCACCCCTCTCCGATGCTCACTAAAGCTCAGTCTGATCTGCAGAGGTCATGGCTTCATTTTACGCCTCCTACTCTTGTTTTTTCTCCTAACAGTGCCTCCCTTGAAGTCCTAGGAACCGAGGGAAGCGTGTAACATTGTCTGGGGCGGAGAAGATCTTTGATAAAAATGTTCAAGAAAATGGGCTTTTGTTTCAGTGTTTGCACCTTACACGTGCAAAAAACCTAGAGCACCAATCACCTCCATGCGCTGCCCTCCAGCAGCGGGCAGGCCCTCATGGAGATTCACTTCATTCTGGCCCAGCCTGGGTGATAAATTATCATCATTATCATAAAAATCTAACGAGCAAAAACCAGGGGTGCCTTACTCACATTCAAACCTCGTGCAGCAAAGCTTTGCTCTAAGATGAAAATGTAGTTCTAGAACCCCCACCTCTGCGAAACAGAGGATCACAGTTCCTCCCAGACTGGAGAGATTTTTTTTTCTTTCTTTCTTAACAAGAGGCAGAATATCTCAGCACAAATAAGCAATCACAAGATTCCCAAATTGCAGCCTACAGGCAAAGCCACACCAGGTGAGTCTCAAGCCCCAAAGGTTTGCAATAGGTAGAATTCAAGCAAGTAAGCTGGCCCTCCCCCCCCTTCCAGGACAAAAGCTCTATTAACATGCGTGTCTGCAGGGGGTCTGCGGGGTGTGGGGCAGGAAGGCCACCAACTTCTCACTAGCTTAGTCTGCAGCCCTGAGAAATGGAGCTGCTGGAGGTGGGAGCAGTATGTCGGCCATGAGACCCTGCCAGACAACGTGACACGCTACAGCCAGTGATAGGGAAAGAAACGTCCCTTTCTCCCAGGACGCACTTCCAGGGGTCTCACTCGCTCATCTTTGTCAGTCGAGCTTCTCTGAGTGGGGGCTGGTTGGTCCACCCAGGCCCGCGTGTCACCTGCCTTCCCTGGTGTCACAGGAGGTCCCTGGACTCACCTTGATGCCCCCCACGGCCACAGGACCACCTATGCCACTGGCCCTGAGCGCCTCACACCCACCATCATTCTCCCCAAACTCTCTCCCAGCCCCCTCCCCGCCACCAAGGCCTGGCGTCCCCTTCTCCCTTCCAGCCTGAACCCTAAGGCCTTCAACTCACCACTTCAGCTCCCCACGACAGAGGCAGAGACGTTTGGGGGTTCTCCGAGGGCACCCGGGCCACACGCAGCCTTGGCCAGCCGGGAGAGGGACTGGGGGGGAAATGGAACAGGAAGCGGCCGGCCCCAGTCCCATTCAGGTGTTGAAGGGGCTGCCCAGAGTTTAACCCTTGACCTCCCAGTTTAGGATGGGGGGGGGGGGAAAGGGCGGAGCCAAAGACAAACGCAGTCAGGGGCTGGCCTGGGAAAGTCTAAGGATCCCTCCCAGCCAGAGCACCTTGCGCCTGCGTCGGGGCTAGCGGCTTGGGCTCTTTGGGGCTGGGAGCTGCCATGCACAGTCCCTGCGGTGGGTCGGTGTTCACTCCCGTGACCGATCTCGGCCGAGGCTGGGCCGGGTGCCGCCACCCCGGAGGCCCCAGTGCCCTCGGGCCAAGTGTTAGGAATGAGGTCGAGCCCGGGGCAGGGCGGGGAGGGCGGCGCCCGCACCGCGTTTGTTTTTTACAGTCCAGGGTTGGCCTCTCTGGACCTCCATGCGGACGCCCGTCCGTCTCTGTGTCCTCCGCCCGCGCCCAGTACGGCGCCTGCGCAACAAGGCTTCTTAAGCAGCCGCGGGGAGCCCCTGGGCGCCCCAAGTTTGCAGGCGCCCGAGGCTCAGGCCGCCGGCTCGGGCTCAGGGGGCGCGGACCGTCCAGGGATCCCCGCCCGGGGCGTGGCCACCAATGGGCGTGTCCTTTCAGGGTGGGCGTGGTTTATCCATGGGCGTGGTCTGTCGGGGCGGGGCCACGGCGGGCGCGGTTCTCAGCTGCTCGGAGTTTCCCTGCGCAGCTCCGAAGGGCAAGGCCGAGTTCTGCTCCCGGGAGGGCGGGGGGGCGGGAGGAGAGACGGGCCTCGCCTCTGGATCTGGGAGCAGGGAGGAAAGGGACTCGCCGGCCTCCAGCAGACTCGGGCTGGGAGGAGGGGGCGGCCGGACTCCACCCGGAGCGTGGCCTCCGGGGAAGGGACCAACCTTGTGGCCAGTGTCTGCCTGGAAGAGCTGGCCCACAGCCTCGCCGCGAGGAGTGAGGTGAACGTGGACTTCCAGCGCGTCCACCGCGGACCTTTCCCGGGAACACACAGAGAAGCAGAGACTACCTTGACTGAACAGCCAAAAGTAGCAGGGAGGCGGGAAAGGCAGGCCCCTGCAGGGAGAAAGTCCAGGCTTCCTTCGTTCTTCAACCTTGACCCAGGGTGGGATTTAGCCAATGGTCTATTGCGTGGGGACCAGTACTTTGTCCCATTCATTCATTCGTTCACTCATTCATTCATTCGGAAAGATTGAGGGCTTTTAAGGTCAGCCTCAGTAAAACCAATGAGATCCATCTCAAAAATGTGAAATTAAAAAATGAAGTAAACACTGGCTCGGGGCTGGGCAGGTGCTCAGGGGTAGAGTGCTGGCCTTGCATGCATGAGGTCCTGGGTGGCGCTGTGGCTCAAGTGGTAGAGCTCTAGCCTTGAGGGGAAAAAGAAAAACAGCCCAGGTATAGTGCCAGACTTTGAGTTCAAGCCCCCAGGAGCAGCACACACACACACACACACACACACACACACACACACACACTACAGAAAACAATCAGCAACAACAAAACTCTAACGCGCATGTACCACACTGGTCTGTCTGTCTGTCTGATCTTTAGTACCCGGGGTGAACCCAGAGGCTCACACATAATAAGCATACGCTGCACCCCCAACTTTATTTCCATTTCTGAAACGAAACAACACCCCATGCAGGTGAGCGTGGGGCAGACTCCACCCGAGTCCGGAGATCCGGGCACCGACCTGGCCCGGTCGTTCTCCGGCAGAGGATGGCTCACAGGCAGCCTCAGTTTCTCCACGGGTAGGACAGAAGTGCCCCTGTCTCAGAACGGGCCAGAGGTATCAACGCGAGAGCCGCGCAAACCGGAAGTTGCCATGGAAAAGCCGGACGGGAATCGCGGGGACACCGGTCTGGCGGCGTGCGCCCGGGGACAGCCTTCCATTCGGGCTGCTCGGCCCCTCGCGGGCGCGCAGGTGAGGGCGGCTCAATGCTTGGAGAGGCGGGGCGGGAAGGCAGGGGGCGTGTCTTCAGAGTGTAGCCAATCCGAAGCGTCTATCTGGCGCGCGGGCGGGGCGGGGCGTGTCGTTGCCTAGGCGACGCGTCGGGGCTCGAGGATCGGCGGAGCGCGTGTGGGCCGGGTTCGCGCGGGGATCCCGGGCCTGCAGCCGCCGGGTCCCGTGGCTAGGGTTGGGCACGCGGTCGCGTCCGCGCCTCGGGGGTTTCCGGGGATCTCGGGCGTTTTTAGGGATTTTGTTTTTTTGTCGGTCCTGGGGCTTGAACTCGGCCTGGGGCCAGGCTGGCGCTCTACCACTTGAGCCACAGCGCCACTTCCGGTTTTCTGGTGGTTTATTGGAGATGAGGGTCTCGCGGACTTTCCTGCCCAGGCTGGCTTCGAACCGCGATCCTCAGATCTCAGCCTTTTGGGTAGCTAGGATGGCAGGCGTGAGCCACCGGCGCCGGGGCTGGCTTCGAGTCACCGTCCTCAGACCTCAGCCTCCGAAGTGGTCAGGATTACGGGTGTGAACCCCTCCCCCAAATCTACTGAACAGGAACTCTGGCAAGTTTAAATATTGCCACTTTTGAAACTCAGGCAGGCGCTGCGAGCCCCCAGGTCCCCTGAGCTGGCGCGGAGGAGAAGCAGCGGCCACGGAGGACCCGCTCAGGGCTGCGGGGAGATGGGGTTCCCCTCGTTTCTAAGTCTCAGGGGGGAGAGAAGGTGCCAGTCTGGGAAGGAACCCCAAGGCCCACTAACCTGGGAAGCCTTCAGTGAACTCAGGGCCCCCCCAGGACAGGGCGTGAAGCCACGTGTGCCGGGAAGATGGGGCCTGCCCGCTCCAGCCAGCAGCTGCCGCTCTTCCTCTGGGGATGTCCGCAGTGGTTTCTTTGCGAAGGCCATCGCCCCCCGGCTGGGTGGGCCTCGCAGGAACCTGCTGGGTGAAGTCATCCTCACGAGCCAGGGTTCAGGACCTGGGAGCCACCGCCCGGCCGAGCACAGGTGCGGCTGGGGCTCGGGACCCCAGACGCGGAACCCTCAAGGCTGGGAACCCTGTGGGCTCGCAGCCTGTGTGGGGAACGGGATCTGGGAGGGACTTCCTGTTGTCCCCAATCCCAGTCTCCACCCGGTTTTCTCCCCATCCTCCGGCTGCGGGCTGCAGACATTCTCCTCCCGGGGAAGGCGGCCCTGCACCTCCCGCGCCCTGTGCATCGCTACCTTGGTAAGAAGGCGGTTCTGGGCGGGCACCCGAGCCTGGCGCGGGTGTGCAGTGTGTAGCAGAGGACATGGTCAGAGGCGCAGGGTTTCGTGCTGGCGGGATAAAGGGGGCCTGGATCTGGGATTGGGAAGTTGAAGGGCGTGCCCCCCATCCCGGGAGGGGGGGGCAGTGAGAAGCAGAGACCCCCGGAAGTGGGCGTGGCCGTTGGGGCGGGGGTCTGCTGAGAGTGGATGGGTTGGTCTCTCTGGATTGCCCGGAGGGGCTCCAAGTTGGGGTGGGGCACGGGACCCCGGGCTCGGGGCCTGAGGACAGCGGCTGGGGTGCCCCTGGCGGTGACAGGCGGGACCCCCCAGATTGTTTTTGGAGGATCTCTTTAAATTCCCCCCCCCATTCTCACGTAGCCCCTGCATTTCCTGAGCAGGTCGCCCTGAGACGCAGGACTCGTGGTTCAACAACCAAAAGGACAGTGCACAACAGAAATGTTTCGGGACAGAATTTAAATCCGTTGCCCCAGGGGAACTGGATTAGGCCCAGTTGGACTGCTTGTCTGGTTGGGACTCGGGAGCTCTGAGTGGGCACAGAGATTTTCTGGACACTTAGGAGGTATCGGGGAAATGCCAGCTGATTTCTTTCTGTTTTCCAGACTCCAGGCCAGAAACTGGATGGAGCTTGACCAGCAGAAGAGAGAACCAACTTGCTTCCCTTCCTAGCCAGAACTGGAAATGTCTGCAGATGGCAAAAGCCTGAGGGCTTCTGAGACTAAGGAGAAAGGGGAAGAGGTATGTTGTTGCCTTGGGTGAGGGAGGATCCTGGGAGGACTTTTCAAAGTTGGGTGTCTGGATGGAGCTAAGAGAATCACCGAGAGAGCAGGGTTGGTAGATGAGTGAGCTGGGTGATAGCAACTATACCCCATCTACCCTTCACTGTGAACTTTTACTTTGCCCTTTACCCATATTGGTTATAAATAAATACATCGTACACCGCGTACTGCTGCTACTATTTTCAAAGGCGGTGCCACTGTGCAGTGTCCCTTCCCCACCCGCCTCTGATGTGCAAGGCACCGGGCAGGCCTCGTGCATGGCATTCTCTACTGATGTAATCTGTGAAGTGCAGTAGTAATTAATAATAAATTACTTGCCATCGAACCCACCTAGAACCTTCTAGATCAGGCAGCAGTCTCATTTAACTAGGTGGCACTTTGCAGGCAGTGAAGAGACTTGGATCCATCAGTCAGAGCAGGGGCATTGCTGGCCTGGCAGCCAGAGATTCCGAGGGCATTTCCCTTCAATCCCCAAATGTAGAGGAGCAAGGGAGGGATAGGTCCAAACTCCCAGGACAAGGCCACTGGTGTTGGGGATTTTAAGAGGCCTCTCAGGGTGAAGGAAATATCAGAAGTTTTCGTGCTGTGGTTGTGCGTTGTGTCTTATCTCTGGACCCTAGCTGCCTGATTTCTTGTGGCTTGGGTCTCAAGTTACCACAAAGCAGGCTGCTTAAAACAACCACGATTCATTCCCTTAACCTTGCTAGAGGCTGAGGGGTCAGCCTGGCTGCCCTACCGCCGAAGGCTTTCTGGGAGGGCCTTCCTTCCTCTTTACTTCTCGCTCTCCCGGGCTGGTGTTATCACTCCATCTCACGCCATCTCTAGGTTTTCTATTCTCTCCTTCCCACCCTCAGCTGTACCGGAGTTTGAACTCAGGGTTTCAGCTTGCTTGGTGCTCTACCACTCAAGCTGTTTTTACTTTTATGTTTTGAATAGAGTCTTGCCCCCCTTCCAAACCAGACTAGACCACTCTACTCCCAACGGTACTTCCTGCGTAGCTAGGATAACAGGTGCTCACTTATTTTTTTATTGGTTGAGATGGAGTCTAGTGAACTTTCATTTGTATGTGTTTGCTGATACCAGGGCTTAAACTCAGTGCTACCTGCTTTCAGTGCTACTTGCTTTCACTCAGCTTTTTTACTCATGGCTGGTGCTGTACCACTTGAGCCATGCCTCCTACCTGGCATTTTGCTATTTGGAGATAGACTCTCACAGACTTCTCTGCAGAGGCTCACTTCAAATTGTGATCCTTAAATCTCAGCCTCTAGAGTATCTAGGATTACAGGTATGTCCTACTATGCCTATCTGGGGATTTCTATTTTTGTAAGTACCTGTGTCATCAGATTTAGAGCCTATGCTAAGTCCAGGATGATTTCATGTCAAGATCCTTAATTTGATTACTTCTATAAAGATCCATTTTCCAAATAAGGTTGCACCTGGAGGTTTCAGGTGGATTTGAGAGGGGATCCAGCTTAATCTGCTCCATTTGGTTTTCTTGAGTATTAAAAAATAGCAGCAGCTAGGCACCAGTGGCTCATGCCTGCCTGTAATCCTAGCTACTCAGGAGGCTAAGATCTGAGGATTGCAGTTCGAAGCCTGCCCAGGCAGGAAAGCCCATGAGACTCTTATCTCCAATAAACTACTCAGAAAAAGCCAGAAGTGGAGCTGCGGCTCAAGTAGAGTGCTAGCTCTGGGACAGAGCTTAGACCTAGAGTTCAAGCTCCAGGACTGGCAAAATAAAATAATTAATTAAATAACAACCCACCAGGCACCTTGTTCACCTCCATGGTGGTGGAGGCTTGGCGGGCCTCTCTCTTGCCACCCATGGTGCTGGGTGAGCTGGACAGCAAGAAGCAGGCAACCCTTCAGGCCATTTGGGTGTGTGTTCTTCTCAGCCGGTCTTCCTGAGTTCCAGCCAGATGCTGATGGGGGCTGTTATTCCTAGGTCCCAGGTCACCAGCATCCTTGTCAAGAAATGCTCAGCAGACACGGGGAGCCAGTGCCCCCGGGAGCCATTCGGGCGTCAGCACAGATTAAGTCAGAGCCAGAAGAGCCTCACCCTGAGGCGACTTCGCAGGACACCAGAAGGCCAGGTGCTGGGGAGTGGGGACCACTGAGTCCTGGCTCTGAAGAAAAAGCTCTCTTCCTGCCTGGTGCAGGTAGGAGAGAGCTGCCAATGAGGTGCTTTCCTGCGGATGGTGGGGCTCGGCTTGGGAGGGACCCAGATTCCTACTTCCTGTCTGCCTGACTCTCCTAGATGGCCCCTTAAAACCTTGGAGCATTTGACCCTCTTCTTGAGTCAGGCTGGGAGTTGGGCTTGAGGCAGCTTGGGGGGAGCCATGGCAGGAAGTGCTGCCCACACTAAGGACTGTTCCCCTCCTGCAGCCCTCTCCTCCCCCCTGACCACCATGCTTTCCGGAGAAGGGAGGACCAGAGGCAGGCCAGGCAGGACCAGAGACAGGCAGATGGCTGCAGCACTCCTCACAGCTTGGTCGCAGGTGAATGTCTCTGAAGGTTTCTTTACTCCCTCCCTCCTCCTCCCCCCGCCCCCCATCCCTACACAGTAGCAGGGCCCAGCTCCCCTCAATCGCTGCTCAGCCCTTCTTCCTGCCTTCCTGTGAAGGCAGGACCCCAGCTGGCCTGACCCCACAGGGCACCCGCTGTCCAGGGTGCTCACTGAAGTGCTGCTGGACTGGCCATCTGAGAGGCCTGGGGCCCACGGTCAGGTCTGCCCAGGGCTAGAGAGAAAGCAGAAACGGAGAGTTGGGCCTCCGATGGGGAATTGTTCTGCCGAGCGTGAGCCGGGGAGTGGCAGCAGGCTGCGTGGAAATCCTGAGCTTCACCTGTGGCCCCTGGACACCCTGCTTTGTGAGGGGCTCTGCTGCCTGACCGGCAGGTCTGAGTGCCAGGCCGGGCTCCTGCCACGTGACTTGGTACTGTCATTCTCCCACCATCAGTTGGGTGTTGGATGTCGTTTCAGATGCCAGTAACCTTTGAGGATGTGGCTCTGTACCTGTCCCGGGAGGAGTGGGGAAGGCTGGACCACGCACAGCAGAGCGTCTACAAGGACATGCTGCAGAAGAGAAACGGGCTAGCCTTGGGTAACGGCTCACCTGCCACACAACCTCCCAACTTCCCGAGGCCCTGGCGTGTCAGGGAGGGGCCCCTGCTGCCTTGCTCCACACCATCCCCCTCTTCCTTTCCCTCTCACTGTTGATCTAAACAGCACTGTTCTCTAGAACCTTCCACAGGGATGGAAATGTTTTATATCTGTGATCTCAAGCCCAGGGGTTGATGAGCACTAGAAATGGGGTGAGAGAAACTGAGTAGTCTTTTGAGTTTGAACTGCCATGGCTGGTGGCCACAGCAGTGGCCAGCTGCCAGGTGCTAGCTCAGAAGTAGACCGTCCTTCCCGCTTGCTGCAGCTGGGCCTGCCACAGGGTAGGACGAGGAAAGGGAGTCACCAGGCTGACCTTGAAAGATCCTGCTTCTGTTCAGGAAAAGTACAGGCAGGGCCAGCTCAGCGCTGGGAGGACTAGAGTGGGCTGCCACTGTGGAAGGGGGGATGGAAGCCAGGGCCTCCTGCGTTCAGGAAGCCCTCTACCACCCAGCTACTCTAGGAGCCTCCTAGAAGGATTTTTTTTTTTTTTTTTGATTGAGACAGAATCTATATACCCAGGGTCTGCTGCCTCAGCATCTAGAAGGCTGGTATTAGGAGCATTCCAGATATTCACCACCATGCCCCTCCCTGCGTTATGATAGTCTGACATGGGGCTTTGAACTCAGAGCCTGGGTGCTCTACCACTTTGAGCCACAGCTCCACTTCCAGTTTTCTAGTGGTTTATTGGAGATGAGAGTCTCACAGACTTTCCTGCCCCGGCTGGCTTCGAACCACGATCCTCAGATCTCAGCCTCCTGAGTAGCTGGGCTGACAGGCTTGAGCCACCGGTGCCGGGGCCCAAGAGGATTTTTAGTGTGCATTTAATTTTGTTAGTTTTGTCTCATTAACTTTATTTTTTTTTTGGGGGGGGTGCTGGGGGCATGGCTGTCGGTGGGTGGCTGTCTTGGGGTAACACGGTCTCTCCCTCTGGGCAGCGTTTCCGTTAGGCAGGCCTTTCTGGGCCCCCCAGGTGCCGGGCAAAGGAGAGGCTTCCTGCTCGGGCGGGCCACCGGGAGCTGGGAAGGAGAGGAGAGGCCCTGCTTCAGGTGAGCTCCTCTGGCTGAGGTGGTCCGTCTGCGCTCCCTGCTGGGTGGCCTTTGCCTCTTTGGGTCCCCCGGGGTCCCCGCTGCCCTCCCCTGGGCCTTCGGATCTGCCCCCCACCCCCTGCGGCCGGTCGGAAACCGTGTGTGGCCGGACCAACCCTGTCTCTTGGCCAGGAGCTGCGGAGGCGGCGCGGGCCGGGGCGCACGGGGCCTCCGAGGCCGACCCTCCGTGCGGGCCGCCGACCCCCGCCAGCGGCGAGATCCCGGGGCCGGCCCGGGACCCCCGGCCGGCCGGCGACGGCTGGGAGCAGCAGGGCGCCCCGGGGGGCGAGGCCGCCAAGAAGTCGTTCCGGTGCGAGCAGTGCGGCAAGGCCTTCAGCTGGCACTCGCACCTGGCCACGCACCGGCGCACGCACACGGGCGAGAAGCCGTACGCCTGCGCCGACTGCGGCAAGCGCTTCGGCCGCAGCTCGCACCTCATCCAGCACCAGATCATCCACACGGGCGAGAAGCCGTACACCTGCCCCGCGTGCCGCAAGAGCTTCAGCCACCACTCCACGCTCATCCAGCACCAGCGCATCCACACCGGCGAGAAGCCGCACGCGTGCGACCGCTGCGCCAAGCGCTTCACGCGCCGCTCGGACCTGGTCACGCACCAGGGCACGCACACGGGCGCCAAGCCGCACAAGTGCCCGGCGTGCGGCAAGTGCTTCACGCAGAGCTCGGCCCTGGTCACGCACCAGCGCACGCACACGGGCGTGAAGCCCTACCCGTGCCCCGAGTGCGGCAAGCGCTTCAGCCAGCGCTCCAACCTCATGGCGCACAGCCGCACGCACACGGGCGAGAAGCCCTACCCGTGCCCCGACTGCGGCAAGCGCTTCAGCCACAGCTCGCACCTCACCGCGCACCAGCGCACGCACCGCGGCGTGCGGCCCTACCCCTGCCCGCTGTGCGGCAAGCGCTTCAGCCGCCGCTCCAACCTGCAGCGCCACCAGAAGATCCACGCCGCGGGGCCCCGCGCGCTGGCCGTGCTCATGCTGGCCGCGCCCCCGCCCGCCCCCACCTAGCGGGGGAGGCACGGGTGTGCCCGCACCGACGGACGGATGGACAGACAGGAGGACCTAGACGAGCCGAGGGATGAGGGAAGGGAGCCGGGAGGTGCGGGTCTGGGGTGGGGGAGACAGAGGACCGGAAGGGAAGGCTCGGGGTGAATTAAAGGCCTTAGAACTCAAGCTGCGGCCCGGGGCTCTGTGTCACGCGTGTCCCAGTCCGTGGGTGTCCCCGGTCAGCCCCGTGTCGCCGCTCCTGGCTTGGGCGCCATCTCTGCCCCTCATCCAGGTTGGGTATGTGTCTGTGTTCTGTTCGGAACCTCGGGAACATAGGTCTCTAAGCAAAGGCTCCCGTCCCCCACAGGTTTCCAAGCCCGAGACCAGCTCTTCCGGCCCGTGGGCCCTGGCCAAGCCCCCCACTGCCACCAGCATGTCTCAGGGGCACTCACGGCCTAGTGGTAGCAGGGCATGGACAACTTGAGAACAGCTGATCCGTGTTTACTCTCTGCCCCCGTCTCCTGTCTCAGAAACCCTGGCTGAACTTTTGGGATTGGTTGTGTGTGTGTCAGTTGTGGGGCATGAACTTGGACTGGGTGCTGCCCCTGAGCTCTAGCACTTGAGCTACACTCCCACAGCCTCTTTCCTCCCTTTAAAGTCTGTTTTTCAAAATCAGGTGTGCTGCTTTTGTTCAGGGACCTCAGACTTTGATCCTCCTACTTTGGCTTCCCTAATAACTATTTACAGGGATGCACCACTGGGCCAGCTGCAATTGTGTGTGTGTGTGTGTGTGTCATAGGGCTTGAACTCAGGGCCTAGGCACTGTCTCTGGGCTTTTTTGCTAAAGGCTGGTGCTTTACCACTTTGAGCCACAGCTCCATTTCCAGTTTTTCTGATGGTTAATTGGAGACAATCAGGGACTTTCCTGCCTGAGCTGGATTTGAACCATGATTCTCAGATTTTCAGCCTCCTGAGTAGCTAGCATTACAGTTGTGAGTCACCAGTGCAATCATTCTTTATGCCAAAATTTCTATCTGCACATGAGCATTGTAATTTTTAGCTCCTAATTGGTAGAGTGCTTACATATTTGGAGCTTTGATTCACAGTACCAGACAAATGTAAAACATCTCATTAGGAATAGCATGGAACTTGAGAGTGCATGGTTCAGTGTAGAGCTCCGGCCCTGCAGCCCCTCGGCCCCTCCGCCCACTCGTTGAAGCGGGCAAAAAGAAGAGCCCACCCCAGGGCATCCCTTCCGGCGAGCCGGGGGTGGGCTCTGCGGCTCTGACCAGCCCTGGCACTGTGTTTTCAGGGACCGGAGGGGCAGAGACCGGAAGGAGAAGCGGCGGAAACCAAGGCCGGAGCCACTCCACACCCAGACCCCAGCCCATCCTTCCATGTGCCTGGGTACCGACGCGCCTGGCTCCGCTGCCTTGTGATTGGCCAGCACTAGAAGTTCTCCCCGCTCATTGGCCACCAGTGGACGCACTACTTTTCAGGACGCTGATGTCTATCACGGCGCATGCGCCGCGCCGTTTCCCGGCGACCCTCGCGAGAACTTCCGGTACCTGGAGCTGGCGGCGGAAGTGGGAGCGCTTAGCCCGCGGTGGGCGTGTGTCCCGGGGGGCGGGGACCGGCGTGGCGGCCCCGAGCGTTCGGAAGTGAGAGGCTGAGCTCCGCGCGGCCGGGGCGGGCGGCCCGAGGCCGCAGGCGTGCTCTCTGCTGGAGGGGCGCATGCCGCGGGTCCCGGGCGGCCTTCCCCGCCCGCGCCGCCCCTCACCCCCTCGCGGGCCAGGCTGCCCGGGACCGCGCGGGGCTCCGGTGAGGCCCGGGGCTCCGCCAGGGGACGGCCGCGGCCGCTGGAGGACGCCCGGGGGGCCTGCGAAGCACGGCGGCGCGCAGACGGCGCTCAGGGCGTGGGAGAGAAGCCCGGACGCTGCCCGGACGGCGCGTCCCACCGCGGGAGCCCACGTAGTGCGTGCAGCAAGGCCTCCTCTATGTGAACACACACACCAGGCACACATTTCCCCCATTTTCATTAAAAGCGCAGGAAGTCAGGTGGGTGGCTCAAGCCTGTAATCCTTGCTATAACCTGGGAGGCAGAGATGGGGTGGGGGTGGGGGGATCGCGCTTAGAGGGCAGAATAGTTCAGGAAAATCTCCATGTCAGCCAATGGCTGGGTCAGGCTGTCATGCACAGTGACAAGAGAAAGTACGAGTAAGAAGACCACAGTTTGGGCATGAAGGAGAGAGATCCTACTCTGAAAATATTCAAGGCAAAAGGGGTTGAAGGGGCTGGGAAGGTGGCTCAGGGGTAGAGCGCTTGCCTCGCATGCATGAGGCCCTGGGTTCAATCCCTCAGCACCACATAAGCAGAAAAAGCTGGAAGTGGTGCTGTGTTTCAAGTGGTAGAGCGCTGGCCTTGAGCTGAAGAGCTGAGTGACAGTGCCCAGGCCCCGAGTTCAGGCCCCACGACTGGCAAAAAAAAAGGGGCCAGGGGAGTTTGAAGGCATGACTCAAATGTTAGAGCATTTTCCTAGCAGGCTAGAAGCCCTGAGTTCAATGTTGAATCCCATTGACAGTAGCAAAAGAAAAGAGAAGTTTTACATGTTTGTGTTCTTTAAATTTCTTGTTTCTTATTTTGGTGTTTATGTTATTTTTTTAACTGTTGAAACAACTAAAAGTATTTCACAAATTTGGACAGATGTTTTGGAATTCAGAGGTTTTCAAGTTTGAGAAAAATATGGTATATCAACACTTCCAGAGGCATTTGAGGACCTCAGTAATCAAACACAATACTTAAAAAACTTTAGGTTGGCTCAAATGAAAGAGCTACTACCTGATAAGAGTAAGGTCCTGAGTTCAAAACCCAATTGGTTCTGCCAAAAAAATTAATTGAAACATAATGTACACATAGAAATACATAATTATATCTTGAGTCTTTACAAACTAAGCAAATACTTATATTTTTACCTTAAAACATAAGAACGTTTGCATTACTCTAAATGGAGGTTAAGGATACTCATCCATAGGTTTGAATGAGATTTGGATTTCAGACTTGGGGATATGAGTCCTGGGCCTCTCTTAGCAGGACAGACAGTCATAGAATAGGCATTATGATAAACACCTACACAGGGGGCTGGGAAGGTGGCTCAGTGGTAGAGTGCTTGCCTTGATTGCCTGAGGCCCTGGGTTCGATTCCTCAGCACCACATAAGCAAAAAGAAAAAAGCCAGAAGTGGTGCTGTGGCTCAAGTGGTAGAGCGCTAGCCTTGAGCTGAAGAGCTGAGGGACAGCGCCCAGGCCCAGAGTTCAAGCCCCACGGCCAACCAAAAAAAAAAACCTACACAGGTTTCACGGCCATGAAAAGACAGGTGCTAGAGTCCCTGCCTGTCCCTTCAGACTGAAGCTTGCTTGTGTATTCCATCCCTTCCCCAAACTGCCATTTTGTTCTTTCCCAGGAGTGCAAGTCCTGATGCCAGCTTGGCTACCACTGAAAGGGTCAGCTCTGGAGCCCAGGCTGAGGCCAGCCAGCCCTGAGCCTTAGGCCGGGGAATGGCATCCCTCCAGGGGTCCCAGGACCAGGCCTCTGGGGAGGGAGAAGGACTTGTGATTGTGAAGGTGGAAGATTCCTCCTGGGAGCAGGTATCTGCCCAGCCAGAGGACAGCAGGGATTTGGAGGCCTGCCGCCAGCGCTTTCGTCAGTTCTGTTATGAGGATGTGGGAAGGCCGCACGAGGCCTTCAGCCAGCTCTGGGAACTGTGCTGCCGCTGGCTGCGGCCTGAACTGCACTCCAAGGAGCAGATCCTGGAGCTGCTGGTGCTGGAGCAGTTCCTGACAGTGCTGCCCAAGGAGATCCAGACTCGGGTGCAGGGACAGCACCCGGGCAGCGGCGAGGAAGCTGTTGCCTTGGTGGAGGACCTGCAGAAGCAGCCAGTGAAAGCCTGGCCACAGGTGAGAGGTCCCTTCTGTAGCTGGCAGCTCTTAGAGGGTACCTGGGTTGGAGAGAGATGTCAGCGGGAGGCTCACGGGTCCAGGAGACAGAGCCTGAGGGAGTATGCACAGAAGCATTTGTGGAAGTTTAGTCCAACCTAAATGCAGTTTCTTTTGGGTGGCTCATGGGGGTAAACGTAGTTCCACAAAGGAGGTGTTAGCTCCACAGATGTTCTGCAAATGTTTATTCATGTTCTGCTCTAGGCCAGACCTTGGGGATACAGTGATATGCTTGAGACTGCCAGAAGGGTATGAGAAGGTAAAAGCCCAAAGGGGTATAGAGTCCTGGCCCTTGGCAGGGGAGTCTCCCATTTCTTCCTTGCTAAGTTGCTATGATGCTGGCCTTTGGGCACTGGTGCTTGCCTTGTGATTGATCACAAGTTGTCTTTGGGCACATAGTTCTACATGGTATCATATTCTTCTCCGGTCTTTCTTGGGGCTCCATATTGACCCCCCGCACACCCCCACTTCCTAAGGTAGGCCTCCTTCCCAGGGACTGAACTCACTCCCCCCATCCGTTCTCAGTGCTGATGTCCATGCTGTGTTCCCTGCACAGGATGTGTGCTCAGAGGAGCTGGGGCCTGAAGTTGCAGTCCAGAGATCCCGGCCTAAGAGGCTCCCCCTGGTGGTGGGGGTGCAGAGCCAGCCACCTGTACCCTGGGAGCCGTGCCGCCACAGTAAGCGTCTGCCTTTCAGGCAAAGCGTGTCTGCTCTGTGATGCTGTCACACGAGAGTGTGTGTGTGTGTGTGTGTGTGTGTGTGTGTGTATTCAAGTCCGTGTACAGGGGAAGCTCTGAATCTCAGTCCCAGGCCTGGGCTGGCCTCTGTGAGGCTCCATTCTTTTCTTTCAGCCCAGCTTCCTGCTCACCTTAAAGAGGGAAGCGGCAGAGAGGGGACCAATGCCCATGTGAGTTTGCCGTCGCGGTCTTCTGAGGCTGTCTGGTTGTCTGCATAGTACGGGCCTTACTTTCATCCAGCCCATCCTGTCCTGACCACGGCTGCTAGGATCCCAGAGCCAGGCGGCTGAGCCGGGTCTTCTCTCCTCATCCCAGGGACCTGTGGCCTTGGGAGACATCCCTTTCTTTTTCTCCCAAGAAGAATGGGGCTCCCTGGATCCAGCTCAGAGAGATCTTTTCTGGGACATAAAGCAGGAGAGCTCCAGGAACACTGTTCTAGGTAAGTGGGTCCAAGGGGGCTCCCATGCTGTGGCGGTCCCGTCTGCCCTGAGCCTCTGCTAGGCCTCTGAGAATCCAGTGGTGCTCAGCTTCCTGTCCCTATGTGTGTATTATGTGATGAGTGCTGTGCTGTGCCAACCCTGAGCGCAGTCTTGTGAGGGCGCGTTCTCATTCAGTCCTGACAACCTGGTCTGACTGGCGCTGTCTCTCAGCCATCTGAGACCTGGGCCAGGGGACCGAGGTGGTACTCATCAGGGTCGAGGGACCACTCGGCCCATCAGCTGGCTGCTTCCCACCTTTTGGGGTTCCTCTCTAAGCCTAGCACATTCTCAGCAGCATTTGGGATCATTGTGGGTCATTTTGATTTTTTTGGTTTTTTGCAGTTGTAGGATTTGAACTCAGGGCCTGGGGGCTGTCCCTGAGCTATTTTTGCTCAAAGCTACTGCTCTACCACTTTAGAGCCACAGCACCACATCTGTTGTTGTTTTTTGAGTGGTTCATTGAAGATAAGAGTCTCACAGGGACTTTTCTGCCTGGGCTGGCTTTGAACTGGGATCCTCAGATCTCAGCCTCTGGAGTAGCTAGGATTCCAGGTGTGAGCCTCTGGCTCTCTGCTTGGGATTAGCTTACTTACCCAGCCACGGCAGGCTGGGTTCCCTCCCCATCCAGGGCCTTGTGTTCTTGAGTTGGAGAGCTGGGACCGGTGCCGTGGGTGCAGCCATGACATCTTGGTGGCTCTGTGTTGGCCAGTGAGAGTTGGGACAGTTTATAGCCTGCCAGATGGGCTGGGAACTGGCCATAGTCATACTTAGCAGCCAGCACCTCCGCAGGCAGGAACAGCTGGACTCCCCAAGTTTACCCAAACTGTTCCCACACCCACTTTTCAGCTTTCAGCCTTACCCCTCAAGAGAGCAGGCTCCTCTTGAGGAGGGGAGCAGGCCGGAGCCCTACCTCAAGGCCAGGAAACTTTCCCAAGTTGCCTTTCTTTCTGACCTCAGTTGTGACCCCAGAACCAAGCGGGACTGAGGAGGTTCCCTGCCCTTTCCAGATTTGGGGCTCAAAAGCTTGAGTGTGGAGACTGGGCTGGCCGAGGTGGCCATGGCCCTTCCTGCCCCGGCAGGTGGAGGAGCAGGCGGCCAAGCGGCTGTGTCCTGGAGTCCTGAGGATGTGGAGACCTGGGAGAGCGAGAACCGGCCCGGCACAGCCCTGGCCAGGCCGCCCCTCTGCAGGCGCCAGTTCCGGGACCTGGCGTCGGAGAAACCGCACAGCTGCGGGCAGTGCGGGAAGCGCTTCCGCTGGGGCTCAGACCTCGTCCGCCACCAGCGCACGCACACCGGTGAGAAGCCGCACAAGTGTCCGGCCTGTGACAAGAGCTTCCGCAGCTCCTCCGACCTGGTGCGCCACCAGGGCGTGCACACAGGCCAGAAGCCCTTCTCCTGCGCCCAGTGCGGCAAGAGCTTCAGCCGCAGCGCCTACCTGGCTGACCACTGGCGCATCCACACCGGCGAGAAGCCCTTCGGCTGCAGCGACTGCGGCAAGAGCTTTTCGCTGCGCTCCTACCTGCTGGACCACCGGCGGGTGCACACCGGCGAGCGGCCCTTCGGCTGCGCCGAGTGTGACAAGAGCTTCAAACAGCGTGCACACCTCATCGCCCACCAGAGCCTCCATGCCAAGACAGCCCAGCCGGTGGGGTGAGCTGCCCTGCCCGTGGACACCGCGCCTTGCTGCGATTCTGGCCACAGCTGCTCCCCAGGGAGTTTGCCACCTGTCTTTGTCCATCACCTGGGCACCTGTGGGAGGGACCCCAGTGGGCCCCACCCCCCATCGGGGCGCAGGAACACAGCCACCCACCTGCGATGGTGCTTTCCCCTTTCTGCTCACGGTTTCCGGGGGCCTCAGCACTTTCCTGAGGCAGGAGTGAGAGGAGAGAGGCAGGACCCAGAGGTTCCTCCAGGCACCCCTGGCCTCACCTGGCCCAAGGCTTTGTTCCCTGCCCTCCGCCCCTCACCCTGTGCCTGCCAGCGAGGGAGGGCACCGACCGGCCTCGGCCCCCAAGACAGGAGAATGTGGGTCCCAGGTGCAGCCACGGGGCCTCCCGTCCCCTTCTAGGCCGTGAACAGTCTGTCATAGCCCAGGAAGCTGCCTGCTCTGAGCCCTGAAAGCCCCCACCTGCCGTCTAGAGGTGGCAGAGGTGGTTGTGGTGACAGGAGGTGGACCGCGGAGGTGTGGCCCAGCCAAAAGATGCCAGCACTGAGTCAGCACTCGGAGGCTGAGTCCTCACGCAATGCTTTCTGCCCTGTACCGAGTGCGGAGTTCAGCCCAGTGGGCCTTGAATAAACGTGGGAATGTCACTCCAGCTGGTTGGTTCTTTAGGTGTCTGCTGGTGGAGTGTGTGTGTGTGTGTGTGTGAGTCTGTGTCTGTGTCTGTGTCTCCAGGCCTCCTGGTCTTGGTTGTTCACTGGGTAGAGCCACTTCTCGGGCTGGCAGGTGGGCTGGGTTCCAGTTTCCAGCCATGAATCCTGAGACTGGTCATCATTTGTCAGCCAGTACCAACCCTGGTCTGGACAGGAGACTGGGAGTAGACTAGGCCCGGTGGGGGGTTCAGGTCTCCTCTGCCACCCCCCTGGTGAAAGGTCAGAGCTGCTGACTGGGCTCTGTAGTGTGACACTCCAGCTTCTAAGCTGCCCTGTGCCCAGGGCTCTTAGAGGAGAGACCAGTGAACATGAACTCTGCCCCTGCTTGCTGGCGGCTCCACATCTGGCCACCCCACCCACCTCACCCCGCCTGGGTCCGGCCATGGCCCACACAGAGCTACGAGCTGATCCTGGTCTGGCCCCAAGGTCTGAAGGTCTGTGGGGCAGCTGGGCGGAATGAGCCCTCCAATCATGTGGCCACGGTGGCAGGTGGACAGCCAGGTTGGGGGGGGCGAGGAGCTGTGGGTCTTCAGATCACCCTGCCCTCCACGATACTTGACATCCGACTGCTGGTCAAATAAGGCCAGCAATAGCCATGGTTCACTCACGCTGCTGTCGGGAGCGCAGGACCGCGGCGGGCCCTGCGGGCTGGGGCGGGGCTGTGCCGGGAGCCAGGAGGCCAGCAGGCCCGGGAAGCGGGGCTTCGGAGGAGCGAGGGAGAGGTGCCCGCTCCTCTTGGGAGGCTCGTTCTGCAGGGAGGCGCGGCTAACCCCGCTGCGGTGGGTGGACGCAGCTGGCCCGGCCGGGGGCCTTACAAGACAGCCAGCCGGGGCTGTCCGTCCCGGTGCCCGCGGACCCCGCAGGGCCCTGCAGCCCCGACCGGGGCGGAACCGGGTCCCTCAGCCCTCGGGCGCGCGTGCGCGGTGGCGAGCAATGAACGCCTGCGGACCCTGCGCACAGGCGCAGTGCCCCGTCACTGTGCGCATGCGCATCACAGCGCACGGCGCACCGCGCGCAGGCGCCGAAATGAGCTTTATGAACAAAAAGCTCCAAAAAGGGCCGGTGCAGGGCCGCGTGGCCTAATGGATAAGGCGTCTGATTCCGGATCAGAAGATTGGGGGTTCGAGTCCCTTCGTGGTCGGTGCTACTTATCTTTTCCTGATCCTGCTAAAGGTTTTCCTGCATCTGGGTTTGCTCGGTGCGTGCGTGCGGGTGAGACGCGGGGAAGCCAGTGCGTGTGCGCACCTGCAGCCCGCGCTCCACACCGGATGCGGCGCCGAGCCCAGACACCTGGCTCTCCCCGGACAGAGCCCAGGCCCTGAGAGCTGACAGACAGACGTGGTGTGGGTTGCTTGGTGGGGTGCAGTCAAGAATGAATGCATTGCCGGGCGCCCGTGGCTCACGCCTGTCGTCCTAGCTACTCAGGAGGCTGAGATCTGAGGATCACGGTTCAAAGCCAGCCCGAGCAGGAAAGTCCGCGAGACTCTTATCGCTAATAAACCACTGGAAAACCGGAAGTGGCGCTGTGGCTCAAGTGGCAGAGCGCTCGCCTTGAGCTGAGGAGCGCAGGGGCGGCGCCGAGACCCCGGGTTCGAGCCCCACTCCTGCAGAGAATTCACTTGTGATGTTATTTGTACCATATTGGGGATTGATGCTCAAGATAGGCGAATGTATTAGCTTTTTTTTTTTTTAAGGCCTGGCAATGAGAGAGAGCTGGGAAAGAGAGGAAAGAGCTAGAAAAGAGCAGAGAGAGGGGTAAGAACAGTAGCACTCACGTGGTATTCAGGTATTCAGTAGACCTGCTGGGACCAGGCAAGGTTGGCACTCCACGTGGCTGGGAAAGAGAGAGGAAAGAGCTAGAGCAGAGAGAGCTAGAAAAGAAGAGCAAGAGCAAGAGAGCTAGAAAAGAAGAGCAAGAGCAAGAGAGCTAGAAGAGCAAGAGCTTTTTTTTTTTTTTTTTTTTGAATGTATTAGCTTTTATCTGCATGTTGCAAAAAAAAAAAAATACAAAGAGGAATCTAACAGACCACTTAGATGTAGACAATGGAAGTGTTGGCATTCACCTGGGAAAAAGATCGGAGGAGTTCTGGGGAACGACCCGGGCGCAGAGAGCAGCCCCGGGCCCGGGCCCGGCCCCGACCCTTTCTCCCTTAATGTGAGGTGTCAGTGGTTTTAAGGGAGGGTAAATATAAACAAGAACGCCATGAATTTAACAGAGGGAAAGTGGAGCTCATAGGGCTTGAACCCAGAACCCTGAAGCCCTGGACCCAGCTGACTGCATGCACCTGGTCATTTGGGGAAACATTCACCACAAAGCCGGTATATCCTGTCCCTGCACCACAAACACTGGCTGTCCCAGTATTAAAGGGTTCATCAGCTTGGGAAAGGATTCCAGAAAGTTCAGGGAACTGTAAAACAAAAGAGAAAAAAAAAGAAGAAGAAAGAAAAACTGCAAGGAGTCCCATGGGAAACCACACAGAGCTACATAAGAGATTGGTTCAAGACCTGCTTGGCTACTCCCCTGTCAGCCCCAGTGGCCTAATGGATAAGGCATTGGCCTCCTAAGCCAGGGATTGTGGGTTCGAGTCCCACCTGGGGTAAGAGTGGTTGCATTTTAAGCTTCTTTGGAAACAAATCAGGAATACTCCAATCAAATACTAGAAGAATAAACCCAACAGAGTAAATGAGTTTCAGCCTTCACAAGACTTCCTGTATCCAGTGCACTACTGAAGCTGTGCTGTCAAGAGATGTTACACGAACATGGGACACGTACCTATTCAGTTTTAGAGTGTGTGTGAAGTACCACTATTGTATGATATACCCTAAAAAATGAATAGACCTTGTTTTGGGTGCAGGTATGGATAGGTGAACATGCTCCAAATACTTTACTTAAGTATGAAAATAGAACTATAAAACCAGATAAAAGAATTTTGAAACAGGGGAAGGCGGATGGCGAGGAGAGGAGGAGGGGGAGGGGGAGGGGGAGGGGGAGGAGGAGGGGGGAGGAGGGAGAGGAGGAGGAAGGGGAGGGGGGAAGAGGGGGGGGAGGAGGGGGGAAGAGGGGGAGGAGGAGGGGGAGGAGACGGGAAAGTGATGGGGGGTGAATTCATGGGGATACATTGTATTTAAATACAGAACTGTCACGAGGTAAACTCCAATAAAACTGCCTGTTCTCATTTTCCTTAAATCCTTAAAAATAAAAGCGCATCCATTCTACTGGACGCGAATTGTATAGTGGGCCTGTACACTTTCATACGTCCTTTTAGAGACATACGATTACCAGGCGATTAGATGACATGACCCCGGGTTTGCTTTAACATGCTGGGCTGGGGCTGGGGCCGGGGCTGGGGCCGGGGCTGGGGCTGGGGCTGGGCCTGGGGCCGGGGCTGGGGCCGGGGCCGGGGCTGGGGCTGGGCCTGGGGCCGGGGCTGGGGCTGGGTCCGGGGCTGGAGCCGGGGCTGGAGCTGGAGCTGGAGCTGGGCCTGGAGCTGGAGCCGGGGCTGGGGCTGGGGCTGGGCCCGGGGCTGGGGCTGGGCCTGGAGCTGGAGCTGGGGCTGGAGCTGGGCCTGGAGCTGGAGCCGGGGCTGGAGCTGGGCCTGGAGCTGGAGCCGGGGCTGGAGCTGGGCCTGGAGCTGGAGCCGGGGCCGGGGCCGGGGCCGGGGCCGGGGCTGGGTCGGGGCCGGGGCCGGGGCCGGGGCCGGGGCCGGGGCCGGGGCCGGGGTCGGGGCCGGGGCCGGGGCCGGGGCCGGGGTCGGGGCCGGGGCCGGGGTCGGGGCCGGGGCCGGGGCCGGGGCCGGGGCCGGGGCTGGGTCGGGGCCGGGGCCGGAGCCGGGGCCGGGGCTGGGGCCAGGGCTGGGGCTGGGTCCGGGGCTGGGGCTGGGGCTGGAGCTGGAGCTGGAGCCGGGGCTGGGGCTGGGGCTGGAGCTGGAGCCGGGGCTGGGGCTGGGCCGGGGCTGGGGCTGGGCCGGGGCTGTGGCCGGGGCTGGGGCTGGGCTGGGCCTGGGGCTGGGGCTGGGCTGGGCCTGGGGCTGGGGCTGGGCTGGGGCTCACTCGGCCGGCCCTGTCGAGGCGCCAGAGCCGCTGCGTTTACCCGCAGAATCAGTGTCCCGCAGCCGGCGTCGGGGGTCTGGGCGGCCCCTCGCGGCTCCGGGGAGCCGGGGGTCTGGGGCGAGGAGATGACGCCGAGCCGCCGGCCGAGGCTGAGGGACGGGCTCGGGGAGCGTGCTCCGCGCGGGATCCACAGTGCTGGGGGGACTCAAGCCCGGGGCGCCGGCTGAGGCCGGGGCGGGGCGCTGCGGGAGCCCCGCGGGGCCCCGCGCCCTCCCGAGGGTGTCCTCGGGGTCCCGGCCTTGGTTCCGGGCTGAGGTCCGAGGTGAGCCCCGTGCGTACGCCGGGCCGCCGGGCCTGCTCCAGAACTCGGGGTTGGCGGGGCTCCCTCGCGAGGAGGAACCTCCTTCCCGGGGCTCCCCGCGGACTCCCCGCCCCCGGAACTCCGGGCCGCGCGCGGGGCAGACGGGGCCGGGCCGGGCGGGGCCTCGGGGCCCGGCCTCCAAGGCCCGGCGTCTGGGCGCCACGTCCCGGCGGCTCGTTGGTCTAGGGGTATGATTCTCGCTTTGGGTGCGAGAGGTCCCGGGTTCAAATCCCGGACGAGCCCCATCCGCTTTTGTTTTGAAGCAGGGCGCGGCGCACGGCCCCAGCGCGTCCCAGCCGGAGGTCCGGACGCGAAGTGCGGGGGGCCGCGGGGACGGGGCTGCGGGGGGCGTCGGGCCCGATCTCGGCCCCGGCCCCGCGCGTGCCCGGCCCGGGGCGATCGATGCCCGCCGCGGAGAGGCGCCGCTGTGCTGGCCACGGGTCGGGCGCGGGCCGGCGGCGCCCGGCTGCGGGGCGCGGCCCGGCGAGGACGCGCGGCCCCGGCCCCGGCCCCGGCCCCGCGCACG